TATGTAATGTACATAGCACTAGAAAAATTGTCCTGTAATAAGTGTATTTATAAGTCACTAAGGTAAAATTTTGCAGAATATTTAAACCTAAAACAGCCAAATGCTTCCACTACTTCAAATATTTCTTTTGATTTCAAAAGGAAATTTCATATTTTTAAAAAAAGAAATTGTCACACAACTGATCTTCTTCTTTATTTTCTTTACCATGGATAGGTCATTTCTGTATCAGGGCATTTATGAAGAATTCTTCCACAAACAGCCATACCATAGTTCTCATTACAAGATGTTATCCACAAACTAAGTTGTGGATAACTAAGACTGGTCTTTTTTTTTAAATGTTAAGGCATATAATCCATAAAACAGTACCATACAATTTTTCTGAAGACCTGATTGCCCTTAAATAGACAGTTTTATAAACCAAATAATTTCAACAAAATTTCAGAAGAAGTTTTTTGGAAACAAAATAAACAAAAGGCCTACAAGTTTTTGAGGCTCTCCGGACATTAATCAATTTTTGTATGAGAACTGATTCGAAACTGGAGTCATTCAAAAACAGTGTTCCAAATGAAGTCATTCGAAAACGCAGTCATTTTAAAACACATAGTTTTATTTCGAATGGCAAAAACAGAAACATTCATTCTCAGTTGCAAAAAGGGCTCAAACAAAAGGATATGAGAATGGTTAAAAATGGTGCTATGGAAACACCTTTGTTTTTGTTTTGACTAAAACAGAGTGGTTGAAATAATGGGAACGGTCCAAGTGAATATAAAAATATAATATAGTGGCATAAAATACTGGAAACATAGCCTACTGAATTACTTTTTGTGTGACACTCCTACCTCAACATCATGGGTGGATTTTCTCAAAGATAATTTATGGAGGTTGTTTTTCGGATTTGAGAGTGTCTAACTAATGAAGAAATACTCATAAGGTAGAACCAAAAACTCTTACAAGGTCAAGAACATGCCATTACAACCAATTGGATACCACCATCTCCTCATTGAAATTTGTAAATTTTTAGTTCGTTTACTTTTGCTCGGATGAAGCCTCGTATGCCGGGGGGAATATAAGCCATCACTGATTTGTGTGTTTGTTGTTGTTTATCCTCGTCGCCTTGGGGTGTTCCTTATATACTAATAGAATAATACAATGAATTTTGTTTCCTACATGGTTCCTGTGTTTCTAAGCTTTATATGCCTTTGTTTTAGAATGCGTTACGTGGCCGCCTACCTATTAGCAGTGCTTGGAGGTAACTCCAGCCCATCAACCAATGACATCAAACATATTCTTGGGGAAGTAGGTGTTAGTTTTGATGATGAGCAAGCAAAAAATGTTTGCAGTAAACTTGCAGGAAAGGACATCAATGAGGTAAAACATCTTCAGCTTCTTATGTCATTTTTTTCTATGAAGTGCTACTATTTAGTTCATATTCAAGATATCCATCTTTATTTAAAAACATTTGTATTATGTTGTTTGTAGTTTTCTTGTACAACTTATATGTAAGAGGAAAACTATATACAATATCTATTGCAGATTTTTTGAAGGTGTGCAGTTATATCTTGTTTCAAAATATCTTATGCTTCGTGTTTTTTATATTCATGAATTTACCATAATTGAAGCAATCTGTTAGTAATGGATTTGGGATGGCTTTAGTTAGAAATTGTCTTTATTTTGGAATCGACTGGAAAAATGATACCATCAAAAGACCTGAAAAAATGCAATGAAAAATTTCTAAATTTAAAAAATCAGTTGAATCTGTTGCAAATCGAAAAAATGTTGTCATGGAAGCCTTGGCTCTTTCAGCGGAGGGCATGTGGGGGCAAAGGTGCAGTGGCCCCCTAATATTTTGGAGCACTGAGGTCTTTTTCTAGAACAATCAGAAAATGTGACATAACAAAACAATAGGCTTGCCATCCCCTCCTTCCAATATTTGACCAAGTGCCGCCCTTGGGCTCATTCCACATCAAATCGTCTGTCAATTGGCCCGTTTTCTAAAACTTATGAGCCGACCAAAACAACAGTTATCCATTATAGACAGGACATATAGCTTGACAATCTGACATTCAAGCTAATGTTTACTTTCTCAACGGATTCTGGTAGTAGGGAGTTCAGGCTTTCAGAATCTGCCAGGTGACTTTTTGGAAAATGCCTGGATGTCACGTGACTGATGACGTCATTTAACGGTAAAAAATCAGACAAAATCATCGTTAGCTCCTCACTGAAGGGTTATTTTTTAACGCAACTTACATATTTTGACTCATCTCATTGCAAGCTTTCAAATGATATTTATTAACGCAAGATTTGCCGACATAAGTATTTTCCATATGACGTCATAACAAATTTTGTATGACGTCATCAAATATTTTATTGTCATAAAATGATACGTTAGCATAATTTTGTTTTAATATGACGCTGGCTGTCAGCAAAAGCTTTTCTTCCATATGTTTTTCGATTAAAATGTTAGTATTTAGTTCATTTAAATTGAATTTGTGCTCACCGCAATAGCCAAAGTTCGAAACAGGTAGTAGTCACTATCTGACGAGTGAATCACTTCTTACTCCGAAGTCGCAAAGTCTTGCTCCCACTCTGAACCGGACAATTATTTCTCTGCATCTGCATTTGACTGTTGCTAAGTCGGAAAATATCTTCGCACTATTATAGGCTGTCCAAGATGTCTTTGCACTATAGGTCTTTAGCGTGAACCATTTAGTCTTTAAACGGTCGAGTATGTCGTCCAAATTTCAACATCAGGCTTTTGAGACATGTCTTGTAGTAGTTGCACCTAAACAGTGTAGCCAAAATAACCTTGTTAAGTTGATACAATTTAATTCTTTTCTGATTGAATGATTATGGATCTGCTGGAACTGCTGCAGATGATTTTTTTTCAGATTTGATAAATATCTTTGTCCCTAAATAGCTTTTATATGTTGTTCCACTATATTCTGCTGTTTCGCGAATGTCTTTGCTTTTGCGATAACTCTTTCGGAGAGACTTTTAATGATGACTTGTTTCTGGTTCCTCGTTAGCTTTTTTCACAGTAACCTTATCAATGTTGTGCTTATATGCAGTTGTCTCAGCCCACAATTCCATTAATCTGTGATAAAATACAGCAAATTTTGGAACCAGAAGTTTCAGCGATGCCTCAAATGTTGACGATTTGTT